TCTATAGACTGAACTATAGATTAGTCTACATCCTGCTATAGAAACTATCATATATTCCAAATTATAAACTAGTCAATAGACGTTACATTTCTTAAATACAAGTAAGAAGAAGAGTTTACTACAAACAAAGTTATCCATCAATTTAATTTATTTTATCAGGTCATGTTACGCAAATATGTTTATTTCTACCATTCCTAACATTTCTCTTTTACTGATGTCTGCTTTTCCACCCTGCTATAACTCATACAATTGTTGTTTGTTAACCTTTTTTCACAGCACTTCAAGCAAATTGAAAGCAATTACCTGACTGTCAGGGGTTAATAACATAAAATTGAAACCTTAAGGCAAAAACTGTAAGAAAAATATACATACTCTTTTTTTCCTCTTCAATTAAATGAATATTTAATAGTTAATATGTAGTATGTGTATGTGAGGTGTAAACAAAAAAATAAAAAAATAAGGACACCTACACATATAGAGGTAAGGATTTCCACAGCATCAATTCATGGTTATAATATTTTCCTTGAATTTTATAAAAAAACCTTTTGCGTATAATTCTTACTCTTACCTAAAAGCCTCATGTAAATCAAATGATTAAGGCTGCAAACAATAGAAAAGTTTTTCCTTCAGTTTTTTTTCTTAGTTTTCAAATATTTCCTATTGTGTTTTGTTTTTTTTTCCTCTATTATTCATAATCTTAATATTTAGTGCTTCACTTCCTCTATCTACTACTTTTTCCGTTTTAAAGATGTAACGAAAATTTAAGGCTTCCATTAACAACAATGAAGAGTTATATGTCTGTTTGTCAGTTCGCATTTACATACGAAACATAGTTAAACCGGAATGTAAATGTAAGTCTAAAAGCAAAAAATTTATGTTATTTATTATGTCTCTGGGGAGACTAAAATGTTTAATATAATATACATGTAAAAGCCAAAATATTTTTGTATTGCCGAAAAAAAGTAAAACATAATAAATATGTATATGTACAATATACAGACAAATTGGCACAAAAATATTTATTTATACATATCTGCATTTTTACAGATAACTCAACAGGCTGTTGTATTATTAATAATCTGTTAGTATATTCAACAGATATGACTAACCAAATAGATACCAAGTATTTATCATTTCGTATGAAATTCGTTACCTCAAATCAATCATTCTTTCTAAGTTTTAAGATCTTAAAATTATAGATTTAAAATTTTGTTGAGTTTATCATATATGTCTTAAATCAAAAATTTTAATATACAAATATAAGTGATCAGATATCCTTCAAATGGAGCTCCCATTCAGGCTCCCATTCTAAAGCTAACAAGAACTTGAAATGTAATATTAATCTAATTTCCCTACTTAGTGGCAAATTTTCAAAGTTATTAGAATTTTTGAAATTTTAATACAAAATTGAATTTTATCCGGAATTATTGAACCAAAGATTTGTGGCCACAAATCGATTCCGTTGCCTTCATAGATACACAATAGTAGTAGAGTGCTGATACTAAGGTTTCATAAAACATTTCTTGTAAAAAAATCCATTATCGAATGGGATTTCGTTCAAGTATCTGTCGCAGAAGCGCTCAAATGGATACTATGTACCTAATGTTCATGACTTGAGCATAAATATCGGTCAAAATACCAGGATGGAGAGACAAATAGGGGAATTTCATGTTAAGTGGCCCAACTCAAAAACTTTTGACGAAATTTGGTACACTAAGGTTAGTATTATTGGATAGTAGGTCAGACACAAGTTTTAAACTCTATCGGTCAAGAACTGCCGGACTTAGAGGGGGTCAAAGTTGGACATTTTGGTCATACAGGGTTTTATTCGAATGAGTGGAACTTTTCACCTATTGGTCCTAGCAAAAATTGTCCAAAGGAGTTCAGAGGAGTTCTTCATTCCTTCCAGATAATGGGGGTATATTGTTTTTATAATTCCGTTTGTAACACATCGAAATATTGATATAAGACCCAGAAAAGTATATATATTCATGGTAATCATTATATTCTAAAACGATCTAGCAATGTTCGTCTGCCTGTTGAAAACACCATAGGATTAAATTTTCCACAGATTCTTTTTATTGATGCAACTTATTTGATAATGATAATGGGCAAGATCGGTACACGATTTCACCCCTATGCAAATGGACCCGGTATACGGTTCAAACAGTCATAACTGGCTTAAAATGACCAATGCAAACCAATGCAAATTTTGTGAGAAGAAATCTCTTTACAAAATTGTATGAAGATCGGTCCATAAATAACCTACCCCTCATAGAAAATGTGTTTAACGCTTATTAAACACGTAATGACTATTTTAGCAATGAAATTCACAATACAAATATATCGTGGGAACAAAAATCTCTATATCAAGTTTTATGAGGATAGGTCCCTACCTCCCATAAAAGGCCCCCTTCAGAAAATTACTTTAAAGATCATAGCTGGCATAAAAATTACAGAATATTGATTAAATTTTACATAAACAATGTTTATATTAACCAAACTCCCTCTGCCCACTTTTATGATCTGATATTTGACACTTCACCTCACATAAGGTCCCCTTCAGAAAATGAACATCATTACATATTAGAAATACTACTTTAGAAATTAAATTCACAGTAAACAAGTTTTGTGGGAACCAAAATCACTTTAGCAAGCTTTATGTGGATCGGTTCATAACTGACCCTATCCCTCATATAAGGTCCTCTTCAGGAAATGACTTTAACGTTCAGAAATGACGCAACAATGCTGGTATAGCAACAAAATTAGACATAAATCTCTCTACTATGTTCTTGAGGAATGACCCAAAATTGACTCTATGTCCGATTTAAAATGATAAACAAACTTTTATGTTATAAACTGTTTATAAATCAAATTTTTTACAACATATAATGGTGTGTATATAAGATTCGTCATAGCCGAATGTAAAACTCTACTTGTTTTTTTTTTAGATTTTCTCCATGAGTACTAATAAATTTTCAACCAAACAGTAGAAGTCATTTGATTAATAAATTGGTTTGGTTTAATTACTGATATTAATTGTTTTGATTATTTCTTTAATTTAGTTGATATCATTATTCTGTTGATAGATACAAAACGTGCTTGATTCAATTAATTTGATAATTGAAATGTATTTTCTGCGTTTATGAATTACGAGTTGTTTTGGAAGATATGGACTACGCTCCTCGTCAATCACAATTTGAAATTTATAAAACTTATCCTCTGCTTATCAAAGTTAATTTAACTTCATAAGATATATCATTATGTTTTCGTCCTCTGTATATTTCATTAGCTGTTGTATTACATAGTTGTTTAAAATATTAACTTCAAAACTTTACATATAAAGTTCATATTACGGCAGTAGATAAGATAAGATTTATTATTACTTCCTCGGCATTTGATTATTTAACAACTCTATCTAATAAATCATTTTGTTTAGGAATTCCTTAAAATTCTTTTGGGATTATTTAAAAACTTCTTTTTAAATGTAGCTAAACTTTTCTTTTGATCTTTATAAAGCTTATAAATTTAAATTCCCCTGTCATTTACATAATTTTGAACTTTTCTCTTAAGATTGTTCTTACCTGTATGTATATTGTCTGTAAGTTTTTGTGGCAGAAAAAGTACATAAATATTAATGGTCCCTTTTTGAATTTTTCTTAACTATTAGAGATAGATTGTCCTTTATTTGAATACCATTTTTACACATATGAATATTTGCATATTGTTTTCTATTACTACACTTTTTTAAAAAATCCTGCAGTTCTATACTGCTACTACTTCCTAAGTTAGGCTGATGGCAGAGTGGGCGCTAAAAGCGATGCAAAGCTTTGCGCTGCAAACTTTTTCTTGTGTTCTCTCGCATCAAGCTTCGCTTTCACTTTGACATGACACATAGGAAAACAGAAGAAAAGGTTTGTAGCGCCAAGCTTCGCATTGCTTGTAGCGCCCACTCTGACATCAGCCTTACAGTATAGAAAGAATCTTAAAGCGTTAAATTACTTAGGAATATTAAAGTGAAGTTGTGCTGTCTCTAAGCATTACTTGGATATAGGACAGTGATGATTTTCTGCATTACTTGGTAGTAATAAAGTAACGATTTAGTTTCATTTGATACAAAGTAAAAAATATACACTTTTCCAAATGGATACATTGACTCCTCCCATAACTACTGGGCAAAATTCATACGTATTAAAAATTCTATTTAAAAGTTTATTTATTATGCAGGTGTAAAATAACTTAAATATTTTGTTAGATAACAAATAAATATGTCTGGAATTTATTGCCAGAACTATAAAGATATATGTATGTATTTGAAAGAAAAACACAAATATTTGTTAGTAATTTTTTCTCGTTTTATAAATTTTATTTAATAATTAAAAATTTAATTTGTTTTACAATTTTAATTGCAAAATTTAATTTAAAGTAGTTTTTATATTAATAGTAATTATTTGCTATTAATTTTTTTCTTAATTTATATATAAGTATTTGTGAATTTTTTAAAGAAACTTTTTATAAATTATTGTTTTTTTTTTTTTAATTTTTTAAAGAACACATATTTGTTTTTTTTAATAATTAAAGGACAGTTTTTTTATATTATAAAATTAAATTTATTAATTTTTTATATATTTTTTATTTGTTGTTTATTTAAGGTAGTATTTAATACTTTGTTTATTTGTGTAGTTTTATATATTTATTCATTTATTTGTATAATTAAGAATTATAAAAAATATTACAATTTTAGTTAGAAAGGTTTAAAAAAAATTAAATTGCTTTAAGGTCCCCACCACCTAATTGATAATATTTTATATATTTTTTTAAAAAATTATTTAAAAAAAGGTTAAAGCAATTCAGCTGTTTCCAAAAATTCATTTCAATTTGCTTAAATAACATGAATACATTGAAAAGAGCTGAATTTAATGTTTTAAAACTTAATATGAAAATGCTGTGGCGTCTGTTTTGTCAATTGGCAAGAATTAGTTTTTTTTTTTCTTTTTCAGTTTTTAATTATTTTTGTGACTTTAGTAGGTTTAAATATGGAAATTTTTCTAACCGCAATTTAATACTTTTCTCTTCTGTAGACCGACCTTATTTGTTTGATTGTCAACTGTTTATGCCTTAATTTCTTTTTTTTTTCCGCCTGTTACTTAATTGTTGTTGTCACGCATTTTTATTTAATTTATTATATGTTTTTTTTTTTTTGCTGTTTTATTTTTCTTTTCTTTTGTTAGCATAATAAATAATTTAAGTTACTTTATTTTTACAACTTAAAGCATTTCAACAAGTTTAAGTGCTACTTTTCGCTTAGGTGCGTTCCTAAAGAACAAGACATTCATTTCCGTTTCCACTAATGCTGTCCATGAATTTGACTTAAAAATGCGTATAATGACGGCAAATTCTTCTAAGCTCTGACCCTCATTTATAATCGTAAAAAGACAACATTTTATGTTGTTTTTATATTGGATAATGAAATTTTGTTATCACATAACTAACATATATTTGCGAATATAAGACAAAGATATCAATAATCTTTCTCATATAACATAAATTATTTGAATTCATTATCCCTTGTTAGAAAAAAATATGTCAGTTACATGGTTTCAATATTTCACCAGCCATATGTAATTCTTAAAGTTAGCTGTCTACATGTTTTTTTGTTTGTTATATTTCAACTACATTTAGTCATAATTTGTGTATATGTGTATGTGTGTGTCTCTGTTGCTTAAGGGAAACATTTTTTTGTTTTGGCCAAGGTTTTTAGCCTTTAAACTTTATACTTAGTATGTTGTTACCATTAGTGGGTTTGTTGGTTACAAAAGTTTTACCTCATCATCAAACAAATACAAAAGAAATGAAAAATTATGTTGATGGTTGTTGAAACCATCATTAACTTTTTTATCTTTGGCAACATTTACATAAAAAGGTTTTTCAATTATATTTTCCACATTTTGCCCCAATTTTATGTTTTTAGAAACCAGAAAAAAATTAAGCCATATGCTTTTAAAATTTCCCAAAAAAAGTTGAGTATAAAATTTAAATCAATAAAATAAAATGAAATTTTATCAGTTACTAACAAGAGTAAATTTCTGTTTTCCCAGATATAAGTTCAATGACAGTTGTTTTGATTAACTGTCTAAATAGACAATGATAAGGGTTGTAATAAATGATATATTTTCATGGACATTTAAACAAAAGTTTAAGCCTAATTTTTCTGACAAATGATAAACGGTATCACTCTTAAATTTAAGGTAAATGAAAGATATTTAACTTTAAATTATTTGAATAAAAACTCATAATTTTTAAAAGTTTAAATAATATGTTCTGTAATCTATATAATATCTCTCATACATGGAAACATTTTAAAAATTGATGTAAATATACCAGATATCAACCGGAGTCTTATTTTTAAAATGGCATATCATTGATAAAAATAGCAATATTCTTAACAAAATTATAGTTATTTTTCTCAAATAACTCGAAATTAATATTAATCATACGCCCCGTAGACATTAAATTTTAGAACATTAAATTCTTTACGGATTAAACCAAAATGTCAGTAAATTTCTCACATAAATTTAAATTTCTAAAATTAAGGTCAAAATAAGATCTTCTAGAAAAAAGTTTGCTAAATTATTTCGAATTTTGTACAATATAATTATTACAGCATTTTCACCTTAAGTTTTGAGTGACGTATATTTTTCCAGTTTGACTAAGAAAAATTATTATGACAAAGAAAATTTCTACAAAATGTTTTAATAGCTAAACTTAAACTAATCGAAAGTTATTATAGAAAAACGCATAAAAATTTTTATTAAATCTACAAACTGCTCATATTTATAAATTTGAATAAAATAAAATTTTAAAAACTAAACTTCAAATATCAATTCAAGAAAAGATTTGTTTTAAATACATATATATTTATTTTATTTTATTAAATATATGTTATATTTTTGTTTAATTATTTGAGTCAATTGGCACTTGTGTTAGAAATTATTTGTAAAACTAAATTTCTCTCAGTGTATAAGTAGCATTAAAAAGCAAAGCAAAATTGTTAAACAAAGCAAGAAAAAGCAAACTAAATCAAATAAGAGATAGAGAGAGAGAGAAAGAGAACGTAAAGAAAAATTAAGTTTTATTTAAGACCAGTGTAAAAACTAGAGCATTATTTTAAAACCCATATGAGAGATAGGGAGGCATTAAGAGAACTGTAAGCTGGAAGTTTGTCTCATTTAATTCTTATCTAGCGGTTCCTGCCGCTTCTAATATTTTTACATCTTCTGGGAGTTTAAGTAATTTTACCATTCTCTAGGTCTAGGTTCAGCATCGGTGCGGTAGGATGAAGTACGTCTTGTCTCAACATATTCACTTTGCGTTTGTGCTACCATACGTCCGGCACGGGGTGGTGGTGGTGGAGCTGGCACTCCGCGTGGTTGGAAGGTGGTCTAAAGTTATATAGAACTCTTAAATTACTGCTAAAGTTATATTATCCCCTACACTTACCAATTTTTGTGATCTTCTTGGTGTTGGAGTTCCCTCTGGTGATGACATATCTTCTGGTGCTGCCCAGTGTTCGGTGAATTCACTGTTTGATCGAGCCAACGAAGGATGACTTACAGATCTGTGGAATGAACGTCTTTCGGACATATCATCGTCATCATATTGCATGGGATAATATGAACTAGCATTGGACATATTGTCTAATCTACCAAAGTCTACGGTCACCTCAGACATGGAACGGAAATCATTGTGATCGGTGTGGTAAGAAGTGCGTGAAGATCTTCTGGAACGTTGTGTATTAAAGGCATTAGGATTGATGGGCATTGAAGGATCCATGCGTATGGTACGTACACTAGAACCACCATCACTATCATATTCATAGAGAGTAGGTAGAGAGCTACGTCTGGAACGTGTATCCCAAGGTTGGGTCTTCTTGCCGCGCTTAGGAGCTCTGAGCTCAACATCCCCTTCATCATCTGAGGGAGGAGCCAAAATACGTATGATAACATCCCAAGCTTGAGGTTCAAATATACGCTCATATCTAGTATCCGAACGTATACGTTCGAAATCTTCCTTAACCACAGCCTCGGTTAACATGGTACGCAATGAGGATTCAGTGGTAATAATTTCCTTCCATTTGGTTTTGTCATCATAGCTAAGATAGCGTGTCAAAGGATGTACACTTGAGTGCACAGAACTAGCATCATCAGCTTCTGACATTTCTGGTTCTTCTAAGATTCTTATCAATACATCCCAGTTGGGTACAGCCTTATCGGCTGGTGGTATTTCAATGGGTTTCATATTACCCACCAATTGAGGGCTGGTCAATTGCTGTTTATTATCATAGATCTGTTGTGGTAGTTCGGTGTGTTTCATGGGAGGCAATGACAACTCAGATCTTTCCATTTTGGGAGTCAAAGTTAGACCAGAAACGCTAGAAATATCTGAGAAATTCTCCCATTGTTGCTGTTCACGTTCGGTGGGATAATTGCGTATCTTAACATCCCAAGTTGGATCGGGTATGGGTGGTGGCAGTGGCTTAGCTTTAGCCTTATATTCAGTAATCTTACGTTTATGAGACTCAATATCTTCAATAGTCTTCTTCTCAGTAATGGTACGCAAATAAACATCATCCACAGTGTGAGAGGTTATCTGAGGTTTCTTAATGACAATTGGTGGTTCTGGTGGTATATATTCCGTTTCGACAAAGTGTGATGTATCAACCATTTCAGCCACCGAATGCAAATCAGGAGCACGAGAAGTTACATCGGTAATTTCACTCAAAGCAGGACCATCTGTGTAATCAGACCAGGTTTCAGGACGACCATCAACCACTTCATGATGCGTACGAGTATAGACGGAGAACACAGGTTGTGGTGGTGGTGGCACTGTAATTTCAGAATGTTGGGGTGCAGAGTGTATATCGGGTGTGTAGACAAATTGGGTGTGTACAGTTTCCTCTTGATCTGGCAGTGATTCCATTGTAACAATACTTTCACGGTCTTCGTGAGTTTCCATAATTGTAGAGAGATTATTGCGATCGGGACGTAGTGTAGCCACACTTTCGGTATCCGAAGTTTGTGGTGAAGGTGGTGGGGGTGGTGATTTCTTAACACGTACTTGAACATCGAATTTCGGCGATGAGGTTTCTTTGATGGCAATGGGATGACGAGGTATGGCAGTAGCCACCGCATTGGCAGCTTGTACCTCTTGTGTATGACCATAATGATCGCTATAAATGCTTGAAGTCTCTTGGACAAAAGCACGATTTTCGAAACTTCCAGCTGAGCTGAAAGGCAGGGATCTAGAAGAAGGAAATATTGTTAAACATATATAACAAAAAATTAAGTTTCATATCTCAACTTACCTCGTATCGATTTCTTCAATTTCCGAATGCGATTCGCTGGGATAGTCGGAAGGTATCAAAGCACCCTCACTACCCGACGAACTATGAACCGTATTTAAGGGGGCATGGGCTCTAGGTATTTTAACACCTTCAAAGTCTCCAATACCACCCAAACTACTGCCACTGAGTTTAGTAATTTCTGAACCACTTCCCATTGACATAGGAAGACGACGAACCACTGGTATAGGACGGCTACGCAAGCAATAATATGAAACGGCCAAACCCAACAACAATAAAGTCAAGAACATAATAGCACAAATAATCATAAGGATTTGAATACCCTTCAAAGGCGGTTGGACCACAGTACCAGCAGCAATGGGATTTAAGCTTTAAACGATAAAGAACAATAAATTTATTTATTTTATTAACAATTATAACTGTAATTGAGAACATACATGGGAGCTGGTAAGGCAGGTGGCAGTGATGGTATTGGTGGGGGATAACGACATACTATTGTTATAATCTCATCACCATCCATTTCCAAATTGGCATGAAAACGTACAATAATATTATTGGTAAAAACACGTGTTGGATTCTAGGTTAATTGTAAAATATACAAATTAATTATTATTACATTTGAATGCATATTAAAGCAATTATTTTCCATTTTAATACCTGCAGAGTGCCACATCCTTTCAATGGCAATTCCAATCTGTACGTTAATGCACCTTTACCATTAACACGACAAGCACTGCTACGATCGTAATCAGCTTGTATAATACCATGAAAGGGTTCATTAAATTTCATATCAACCTATTGGTGTGCAAGTAATTAATTTAATTTAATTGTAATTAATATTTTATAATATTAAAAGTTATTTGAAGGAGGAGTAGTTGGAAAAACAAACCTGCATAGAACCGGCCGCACAATTAAGGGCTGCTTTTGTACGATTTAAAAATATCAAAGGACTAATATCGTCTAGTTTGGTAACCTGTGAATAGAATAAGGAAAATATATATATAAATTATTTCTTAAATTTGGAATTAAATTTAGAGGATAAAGAAGAATATGGTATACTGTGACTTTAAAATTTCTATATCAAAACTTAATCAAGATCTAGGGGAAAATTTCTTCTGCAGGCATGTCTTTGCTTCCGTGTCAATAACCTTAAAGTCTGCAGTATAGATCATATTAGTATTAACTTCTCCACATCAATACAAAATGTTACATGCATTCATTTGACGTTTCCATTTGTACCACAACTCTCATATTATTTGATAATATTGAAAATATTAACACTCAAGTGTGGCCATAAAAAGTTCCCACATTTTAATGTAAATATTTACTTAAAAACTCGTAAAAACGTTAATGTAAAAAACATACCAACTGTCATAAATATTTGCATATTTTTCCTTGGAAAAAATTGTTGGCAAGACCACACACTTCATAAACTTCACAAAATGTGGAAGAAGAAACAAAATCGCAATAGTCAGTCTATAGTCCAATATTTATTATTTTGTCATTTCCTAAACAAGTAATTTTTGCTTAAAATTTCCGGCTTTAGATATATAATTTACATTTTGAACAAAATACAATTTTTTGGCAAACCAATATATTTACATATGTGTCATACACATACATAGATACATATTAGATGCAGTAAATTTTTTGTAAATTTTAGCGTATATTGGCATGAAACCCTAGAAACTAAGAGTAGTCATAATTTTTTTTTAGCAACAACTATGTATGTATTTTTATTAGCTATACGCAGTGAAAGCCAAATATATTTTGAATGTTGACAATTGTAGTTTAACTCTACTACAAACAAAAATCACACAAATACCCATATTGCAAAAATTCCAAAAACAACAAAAATTGTTATTGGTAAAATTCAAATGTTATGTTTAATTTGTTGTTGCAGACCTGTGGGAAAATCAACAACAAAAATATTGTTGGTCATATCAATCCTTTACATGCATTCACACTTTTATACTACAATACATACATTATTTACATACATATTTATTTACGTATGTATGTAAAGACACGTCTACATTCAAGTGTTTATACATACATATATTGGAAATTAATGAATGAATGTCTGTTTACTAGAGGAAATTTTACAGAGATAGATATTTTCTGGTTTAAATAGTGATAGGGTATTGTGTATTGATCGTAATCGACTTGACGATGAGCTAAACATTGTTAAGAAATATTATATAAAGAAAGTGTTGTTTCTCCCTTTATCTAAGAATACAGAGCTTTTAAATATCTTATATAATCTAAGACTCTTATAGAAAAGTATTGAGAATTCAGAAAAGTATTGAGAATTCAGTGTCCAGGGTGGTTTTTGTGTTTCATGGGACAATGCGGATCTTACATTTTGGATGTCGAAATTAGACCAAAAACTCTAGAAATATCTGGGAAATTCTCCCAATGTTGCTGTTCACAGTCGATGGGATAATTGCATATATTAACATTAAAAGTTGGATCGGCTATGGGCTGCCAAGTTTTAGCTTTATTCTCATATTCATTAATTCTACGTGTCTGGGTCTTTCTCTGAGAATGGGTGTTTCTTGTATTTAGCATTCGGTTTCAACAAAGTGTGAAGTATCAGCCATTTCGACCGAAAGCAAACTAGGACCATCTCTTATAGATGTACAATTTTTTTTTCTGTATTATTGATAAATGTTCCATAGAAAAGAGAATTTTTCGAAAATGTTCTATGGAAAATATGACTTTTAGAAAAAACAGCTTTAAATGATAATTTGACTAACATTTCCTATAAAAAAGTTGAATTATTTGAAATTTCTTTAAAATAGAATTTTTTGAAAATTTTCTATAAAATAAGAACTTTTTAAAACTTTTCTATAAAAGGAGAAGATTTTTTAAATTTTTTTTATAAAAAAGAAAATTTTTCGAAAATATTCTATAAAAAAGAGATTTTTTTTGAAAAGTTTCTATGAAGAAAATAATTTTTCGATAATTTTCTACATGAGAATATTTTGAAAATTTTCAAATAAAGAGAATTTTTCGATTTTTTTCTACAGAAATGATAATTTTTCGAATATTTTCTATAGAAAAAAGTGTTTTTTGAATATATTGTAAAGAAAAAAAAAAATTTCAAAAATTTTCTATAAAGAAGGGGACTTTTCGAAAATATTCTTTAAAAATAGAAATTTTAGAAAATATTCTATAAAAAAATTTTTTTTCGACAATTAAAATCTATTGATAATGTTATGTAAAAAAGAAATTTGTGGTACTAAAATCTGTTCTATTTCTCAACCATTATTGGGATCTATTTTGTCGTAGTTCCATTCTCCTTAGAAGTTTACCACAAAAAAAATATTATTGGAATTTCTTACCCTAATTTGTTGTCAGTTTCCCAGCAAAAACTCGGTAATGGGTTGTACTTCCATAACCTCTTACTTTTCAATGACTACTATTTACCGTCTGCATTACATAGAAGTACTCTAGTAATGACTTTCTTCTGTTCTGATATAGAAGTACTTTATTTTCGGCTTTGTTATTTTGTTTGCACATTTTACTTAATTGCCGAAGTCCGAAGTCCCTGGTTCGTATTCTAGCTGGCTCTTTTTATTATTAAAAAACAAAACAACTTACTCAACAACTGTTTTGTAAGAGAAATTGTAAGTACTTCTTTAACTCTCTATTTGTAAGCGAGCGTGGAAGTACTTGCCTCCAATGACATCACCGTGTTAAAATAATTACTTAAAATACTAATGAAGAAGTAGTGAAAAGAGGTTTTAGTAGCTTTTTAACTCATTACTTCTTAATGTAAGTTTTTCCTGGGTTGTTTTGCTCTAAAGTTAAAGCATTTTGGTGAAAATCTATAACCTTAAATGCAACATCTGGATTATGCATTTGAATTTAATATAACCTTGATAATTTAGCAGAATAAAATTGAATTAAAATTATAAGATTTGCATCATTATCATTTAAAGTGCATAAAAGTCATCAAGTTTAAATTAAATAAATACTTAACAAGCTTTTCAACTAATTAATATTTGTTTAGTTTAACTTAACGACAACAATTAAACAAAAAAACTCGTTTTCTAATTAATTGAGATTTTAAACACTACAGCTAAATGTCCATCAAGCGCTCAATTACAAAAGAAGAAACAAGTAATTAAAAAAATTATACAATAAGAAAACGTTAAATAAATTTTAAATGTTCTTTAATAAATTTCCAGTCTCAATACACAGGATGTAGGGCGCATAACATATAAATTAAACTTTAAGTGTAGTGCCAATATTAAGCTGTTTATAATTTTTTTTTTTTTTTTGTTTTTTTTCTCCTTTTTGCTGAAATCAATGTATGAATACCAAATACATATTTAAAAATGGTAGAAAAACATTCGAAAAATTGAAATGTATGTTTAAGAAACGTGTTTGGTATGCAAATTTAAGTTAAAGTTAAAACAGTAAGAAAAAAAACATACACAATCTATACAGATGTGTTTTTCTGCCAAAAGGCTTATTTACCATGTAAATGGGTGGGAGTGTAGTGTGTAAAATGAAATTCCAGAAATCAATGTTAGAATTTAATTTATGCATTTTTTTTTACCTTTTATTCAGACTTACTTAAGTTGAAGAACTAAGAAGATACAACTTAAAAAAAAATAAACAAAAAATTCTTTGAAAATATTATTAAAGAGTAATACGTTTTGAGTAAAAAACAAACACTTCAATTTTATACTTTAACATTACCAAAAGACATTGAAAAGTCTTTATTGTATTACCTCTTTGCCACAATTACTACTCTCAATTCATTTGGTTTATTAAATAGCGACGAAGACTAGCAAATACAATTTTACTTATTTTGTAATTTAGTATTACAGTCATTTATTTTAATTAGCATCACACTACTAAAATATGCTCCAGTTTATAACGATTGTAATATTTTGTGGATGCTTCGGCAAGGAAGGAGTAAGAGTAATAGATTTATTCAATGAATGAAAAAATCGCGCAATGTAACATTCTGTTGGGAAACAAAACTACTAGATATAATGTACAATGAGAGTATAATGACTTACATAATAGATACTACTGCTGATATTTTCATTTATTAACTGAAAAATATACAGTTAAGGGAAAAAGTTTACGGACACAAAATAGAATTAGAAAAATATTTGAAACAAGAATTATTCAATTCTGTTAGAAGAGTTTTCTGATTTTTTTTTTAATAAAAAAGGAATTGTTTGGAAATATATTTCGAATATTTTATATTAAAAGAGAATTTTTCGAAAATTTTCTAGGAAAAATAGAATTTTTCGAAAATTTTCTATAAAAGAGATTTTTCGAAAATTTTCTATAAAAGAGATTTTTCGAAAATTTTCTATAAAAGAGATTTTTTGAAAATTTTCTATAAGAAAGAGAATTTTCTCGAAAATTTTCTATAAGAAAGAGAATTTTCTCAAAAATTTCCTATAAGAAAGAGAATTTTCTCAAAAATTTCCTATAAGAAAGAGAATTTTCTCGAAAATTTCCTATAAGAAAGAGAATTTTCTCGAAAATTTTCTATGGGAAAGAGAATTTTCTCGAAAATTTCCTATAAGAAAGAGAATTTTCTCGAAAATTTCCTATAAGAAAGAGAATTTTCTCGAAAATTTTCTATAAGAAAAATAATTTTGTCGAAAGCTTTCTATAAAAATAGAGAATTTATCAAAAATTTTCTATAAGAAAAGAGAATTTTTCAAAAATTTTCTATAAAAGAGATTTTTCAAAAATTTTTTATAAAAAGAGAATTTTTCGAAAATTTTCTATAAAAAGAGAATTTTTCGAAAATTTTCTATAAAAAGAGAATTTTTCGAAAATTTTCTATAAAAAAGAGAATTTTTCGAAAATTTTCTATAAAAAAGAGAATTTTTCGAAAATTTTCTATAAAAAAGAGAATTTTTCGAAAATTTTCTATAAAAAAGAGAATTTTTCGAAAATTTTCTATAAAAAAGAGAATTTTTCGAAAATTTTCTATAAAAAAGAGAATTTTTCGAAAATTTTCTATAAAAAAGAGAATTTTCTCGAAAATTTTCTATAAAAAAGAGAATTTTCTCGAAAATTTTCTATAAGAAAGAGAATTTTCTATAAGAAAGAGAATTTTCTCGAAAATTTTCTATAAGAAAGAGAATTTTCTCGAAAATTTTCTATAAGAAAGAGAATTTTCTCGAAAATTTTCTATAAGAAAGAGAATTTTCTCGAAAATTTTCTATAAGAAAGAGAATTTTCTCGAAAATTTTCTATAAGAAAGAGAATTTTCTCGAAAATTTTCTATAAGAAAGAGAATTTTCTCGAAAATTTTCTATAAGAAAGAGAATTTTCTCGAAAATTTTCTATAAGAAAGAGAATTTTTCGAAAATTTTCTATAAAAAGAGAATTTTTCAAAAATTTTCTATAAAAAGAAAATTTTTAAAAAATTTTCTGTAAAAAGAGAATTTTTCGAAAATTTTCTATAAAAAGAGAATTTTTCGAAAATTTTCTATAAAAAGAGAATTTTTCGAAAATTTTCTATAAAAAGAGAATTTTTCGAAAAATTTCTATGAAAAGAGAATTTTTCGAAAATTTTCTATCAAAAGAGAATTTTTTTAAATTCTATAATTTTGTAGAAAAATGTATTGACCTAAAACGAAAAATTTTCAGAAATTTTCTTAAGTTTGCTTTTTTCTAGTCCCACTGCAACTTTAACTATTGTTCGCTGTTTCTCCCGCTATTTTTTAAATTTGTAACAATATGCAGAGTTTTCCTCATAATGAAAACACTGACAAGTGCAAGGCAGAGTCATTCAGTTTGTACCTCAGCTGTTTGCCAGCGACAGTTATGTTGTATTTCTACGATATGTATGTTGTTTTGTAATTACTTAACATTTCAGTATTGCGGGAATTATAATTACATGCTTAAATTAAAGTGATGGGATTTTATAGGGAATTTTAATTCAGTTTCTTTATTCTTTCTTTCATTCATACCCGCTTTTTCTTGGTAAGCATATGAATTATTTTTAAATTTGATAGAAAAAATACAATTAAAAGTACTTTGGCTTGTTTTTGATTTGGAAAATACCACTTTTACAGGTATTTGCTATTCTAAGTACTGTTAAATTTCTTAGTATAGCATGTACCTAGAATTTTTAAGGAGCAGCAATTACAATTGATTTTCTTTTCATTAGACAATGTAATTAATTGTGTTTTGCATATTAAATTAATGTAATATATAATTTAAAATTATTTGCGTAATTGTAAGCATTAAATAAAATATTTTTATTTTTCAAATATTTCTCTAATATAAATTTAAGATTTATCTTTTTTTATATTCCCTCATTTAAGGTTAACAAATTAAAAATATTTTACTTAACTGTTTATTTGAATAAATTAGTGTGTTGAAATATTCAAATTTCACAAAGTTCCTTTAAGCTGTTTTTAAAGCAGAGTAAGATTTAATCTTTTGAATTTTGATTAACATAAATAACATAATAATATTAATCTGCATAATTTCTGGAATTGGAAATTTTGAGAAAATGTTTTAACATATTTGTTTTGAGTACAGGTGGTTTTACTGTGGCATTGCAAAGACTTCAGAAAGAAGAAATGCAAATACTTCAGTTCGAATTTTGTATTTTGATACTGAAGGGGTGAAAACCCTCAACATAGATTATGAAAATACATTTTAAATGAAATTCAGTTTTTGGAAAAATTTTAAAGAAAATGTTCGAAAAATTCTGTTTTTATAAAAAATTTTCAAAAAATACTGTTTTTAAAGAAAATGTTAAAATTTCAATTTATAGAAAATTTTCGAAAAAAATTTATTTTTTTGTAGAAAATTTTAAAAAAATTCTCTTTTTATAGAAAATTTTCGAAAAGTTCTTTTTTATAGAATTTAGAAAAGTTATTTTTATAGAAAAAAATCTTATAGAATAATTTTAAAAAATTTACTTTTTTCGAAAATTCCTTTTTTTATAGAAAATTTTCAAAAAATTTTCTTTTATGGAAATTTTCGAAAAATTCTCATTTTATCGAAAATTTTCGAAGAATTCTCTTTTTGTAGAAATTTTTTTGAAGAATTCTCTTTTTATAGAAAATTTTCGAAGAATTCTCTTTTTATAGAAAATTTTCGAAAAATTCTCATTTTATAGAAAATTTCCGAAGAATTCTCTTCTTATAGAATATTTTCGAAAACTTCTTTTTTATAGAATTTCGAAAAGTTCTTTTTACAGAAAAAAATTCTTATAGAAAAATTTTTAAAAATTCTCTTTTATTCTTTTTTTCGAAAATTTTCTTTTTTATAGAAAATTTTCAAAAATTCTCTTTTATGGAAATTTTCGAAAAATTCAGATTTTATAGAAAATTTCCGAAGAATTCTCTTTTTATAGAAAATTTTCGAAGAATTCTCATTTTATAGAAAATTTTCCAAGAATTCTCTTCTTTTATAGAAATTTTTGGAATAAAATATCTTATTTTTTGGAGAATTTTCAAAAAAAAAAAATCATCTATTATAGAAATTTTAATTTTCTTTTTTATACAAATATTTTTAAAAAACTCTTCTTTAATAGAACATTTTTGAAAAATTCTCTTTTAATAGAAAATTTTCGAAAAATCCTCTTCTTATAGAAAATCTTCGAAAAATTCTCTTTTTATAGAAAATTTTCGAGAAATTCTCTTCTTTTATATAATTTTTTCGAAAAAAATGTCTTCTTTAATACATTTTTTTAAACTCACTCCTTTTATAGACAATTTTTTAAAAATCTTTTCTTTTATAGAAAATTTTTGAGAAATTCTCTTCTTTTATAAAAACTTTTTGAAAAATAATCTTTTCATGTAGAAATTTTTTTAAAAATTGTCTTTTTATAGAAAATATTCGAATAATTCTCTTTTCATAGAAGGTCTTCGAAAAAATCGCTTCTTTATAAAAAAAGTTATTGAAAAGTTCTCTTTTTTATAGAAAATTTTCTTTTTTATAGACATTTTTTTTGAAAAATTATCTTTTTAATAGAAAATTTTTGAAAAATTTTTTTGAAACATTCTCTTTTTTATAGAAAAATTTTCGAAAATTTTAATTTTTTTTTTTTATAGAAAATCTTTGTAAAAGTATCATGTTATAAAAAATTATCAAAAAATTCCCTGTGAGTTGATCATAATGAACAGAGGAACATTGGCTCAGAGTCGATTTTTATAATGACTGTCGCAATTATTTAAAGAGGACACATATCACACTTTCGTATTTATTTCTAAGCAAAATCAAAATTTTTAACAATATTCCAAAATTTAATTATTTTTTATTAAATTTTTGCAAATCTTTATTAAAAATAACCAGTCATAAAAATTATATTCTTGTACAACCAGTTACAATCTACTCCCCCACACAAGTAGTCATACCTATAAAGTTAATTGTACAAAACCGATAAAATAAAAACAAAAAAATATTTTAACATCAGTTCTTTCTAATCAAAGACATTAATACGTCCACGTACATGCTCCGTTTGAAATGAGACATAAAAAAATTCAAACTGCACATATGAAAAAATAAATAAAAAAAATATTACATTTGAAAACAACATAAAAAAAATCTCGGTAATAAAATTTTATTTTTTAATAAAATTATTATAATACACGAATTGTTTTGTGGCCAAATGTCTCTACGTAAGAGAATGTGAGAATGGAAAAATATTATAATAAATTCTTTAGAACGTTTGTCTGTTGCTTTTCTTGATGTGAGTTGTTTTTTGCATATGATTTTATAGCCTGTCTATGAACTTTATGGACGTGTAGACAAGGAGAAAAAAGTCGAGAAAAACAAATTATAGGCTTGGCTAAAAGTACTATTTTATATGCAATACAATATCAATTTAGACATTTTTATACAAAAAAATGCATGCAAATGAAAATATGCATAATATTTTTGTTACAGAAAAAGAAAATTTTAAACTAAATCTGAAAATTTTCTATTAAAAGTGATGTTTTCTTTCAAAAAATTTGCTATAAAAAGAGAATTTTTTAAATCAATAGAAAATTCTTTGAAACCTATAAAAAGAAATTTTCCAAAAATTTCGATTGCAAAGAAATTTTTCTATAAAAAACCAACAATTTTAATTTTTTTTTCAGTGTATTCCTATTTAAAATCTAACATAAATTTGAATATGCCACCATTGAATGTGGTGACATACGAGAAATTATGGTTAAAAAAACAGAAATGATATTTGCAACCAACTAAACAATCCACATCCAACCGAGACATCATACGAGTCAAATGAAACAAAAACTGAAATAAACCTGGCAATACGATGATGTACACTTTAGTCATTCAGTCAGGACAACAAACAGTAACAACAGATTTATACGATTGCTAACATAATGTTGCTGTAGTAGTTGATGTTGTTGCAGTTGTTGTTGTGATAAATTTCCATAGAAACTGACAACATGTCATGTTAGATGTTAGAATATGAAAATATGATCAAACTCAATTTTACATTGTTTTATGTCTAGGCAGATAAATACTTAGATGATTTTGTTGTTATTGTTCTTTTGTTCTATCTCTCTTACCTTTCCATCGAGCGTGGCTTCCTCGGGTAAACCATTTGTTGTATAGTTTCCACTATCACCATGTTGCACATAATTCGATTGTGCTGTTACATTAACAAATTGTAGACAACTCATGACTAGTAGAGCCGCTAACGGCAACAGTTTTATTGAATATTTTTCGTTCATTTTGTTTTTCTATTTGTGGGGATCTCTGTGTATAGAATTTTCCTTGATACTTCAGCTGGATTGGGTTTATTTTGGGTGGAATTTCAAATAGTTCTTTTGTTTCTGTTTTCTTTTTGGAAAGAGGGTTTTATTGTTCCTGGTAGTCGTGCCTTTTTTGTGAATGAATTTGTTCAATGTTGTTGACTTAATTATAATTATTTGAAAATTATGGTTATTTCAACATCTGAAACGAAAAAAAAGAGAGGGAGAAAAATAGTAATTAGTTGATATGTTTTTGTTAAGTGTAAATATTTTGAATATTTTGTTATAATAAAAGTTTGCTTAACTAATTGATTGTATTGTGGTATTTGATTTAAAGCAACAAAGGAAATGAGTTTAAATTAATTATTTTATAAAAATACTTTCTAATAAGTCAAAATATAGAAAAATTATCTTTTTAGAGAAAATTTTCAAAAATTATTTTTTATAGAAATTTTTCGAAAAATTCTCTTTTTTAAAGAAACATTTTTAAAATTTCTCTTCTTTTACAGAATATATTTAAAAATCCTCTTCTTTTATAGAATTTTTTTTTTTAATTAAATTTTTATAGAAAATATTCGAATAATTCTCTTTTTATAGAAAATTTTCGAGTAAATTCTCCTTTTTTATAAAAGCTTTTTGAAAAAAAATTTCCTGAAAATTTTCTTTTTTATAGAAAATTTTCGAGAAAATTCTCTTTTTTATAGAAAATTTTCGAGAAAATTCTCTTTTTTATAGAAAATTTTCGAGAAAATTCTCTTTTTTATAGAAAATTTTCGAGAAATTCTCTTTTTTAAAGAAAATTTTCGAGAAATTCTCTTTTTTAAAGAAAATTTTCGAGAAATTCTCTTTTTTAAAGAAAATTTTCGAGAAATTCTCTTTTTATAGCAAAATTTCAAAAAAATTTTCTTATTATAGAAAATTTTCTAGAAAATTCTCTTTTTATAGGAAATTTTCAAGAAAATTCTCTTTTAATAGAAAATTTTCGAGAAAAGAATATTCTCTTCTTATAGAAAATTTTCGAGCAAAGAATATTCTCTTTTTATAGAAAGTTTTCGAGAAAATTCTCTTTTTATAGGAAATTTTCAAGAAAATTCTCTTTTAATTGAAAATTTTCGAGAAAAGAATATTCTCTTCTTATAGGAAATTTTCGAGAAAAGAACATTCTCTTTTGATATATAATTTTCGAGAAAAGAAGATTATCTTTTTATAGAAAATGTTCGAGAAAGAACATTCTGTTTTTAGAGAAAATTTTTGAGAATAGAACATTCTCTTTTTATAGAAAATTTTCGAGAAAAGAATATTCTCTTTTTATAAAAAAATTCACAAAAATTCATTTTAAAAAAATCTCTTTTTATAGAAAATTTTCGAGAAAAACTATTCTTTTTTTATAAAAAAATTCACAAAAATTCATTTTAAAAAAATCGACAAATTTTCTAAATAGAGAAAATTTTCGAACAATTCTCTTTTTAGAGAAAATATTCAAAGAATTATCTTTTTATATAAAATTTTCGAAAAATTCTCTTCTTTTATAAAATTTTTTTGAAAAATTATCTTCTTTTATAGAAATTTTTTAAAATTCTCTTTTTATAAAAATTTTTTAAATTTCTCTTTTTATAGAATTTTTTTAAAATTCTCTTTTTATAAAAAATATTTTAATAATTCTTTTTTCATGAAAGAAAAATTCTCTTTTTATAGAAATTTTCGAAAATTCTCTTTTTATAGGAAATTTTTGAAGAGCTCTCTTTTTATAGCAAATTTTCAATAAGTTCTCTTTTTATAGGAGATTTTCGAAAAATTGACTTTTATAGAAAATTTTGAAAAAATTCTCAACTTTTACAGAAAATTTTCGTAAAACTCTTAATCTTTTAAAAAATTTTTGAAAAACTCTTTTTTATATGGAAGTTTTTTGTAAAGTTCTCTTTTTATTGGAACAATTTTCTTTTCATAGAAGATCTTCGAAAAAATCACTTCTTTATAAAAAATTTTATAAAATTCTGTTTTTCTATACAAATTTTTTAAAAATTATATTTTATTATAAAAAAGTTCGTAAAATCAATATTTTAAGCAATTTATCGAAAATTTATCTTTATGATTTATACAAAATTAATTTTTTTTTTTATTTTTTCAGATTTTGTGCTATATCCAACTTCAAGCCTAAAAACTGTAAGTAATAACTTGATTCTTATTTAGTATAGAGAAACACATTTTTCTCAATTTCATATTAATCTTTATCATTCCCATACACTTCTACTGGAAACTGGAATTTAACCTTAATATTATAATTACAAATCATTTTTCATTTTCATTGCAATATCCCAGACATCCATCTCCTCTAATTACTTACTAGAAAAATCTTATTTAAAAACTAATTATCTTAAAGCTTTTCTTCTAAACTGAAGCCATAAAAATTTAGCAAAGATTAATAATCTGAAAACGAATAAAACAACAAACATAAAAATTCCCATATGCAAGCAGACATCTTTTAAGTCTTTAAAATACAAAACCAAACGCATGAAAGTATCTTTAAAACTGCTAAATACTTCTACTAATACTGCTATGTATTCTTGCTCCCTAGAATAATTCTTGGGAAACGTAAAAGTTATAAAATCCATTTACAAATTTCTAGAGACAGACACAAATTAAGTCAGCGTAAAGGGGGAAAAACAAATGAGCAACATGTATTGCCGTAACAGACGTGCATATATACATGTTTGTGGTGTAGAAAAGAATCTACAGCACCCTTGCCAACCATTATGACTTAGAAAACCACACAGAGATATACTTGCTACAACTAACACACATGTTTGGCATATTGCTAGTCTTTTATAGATACATACAATAACAATTGTATTTTCCTTTTTAATTTTGCCGACTTACTTTTATAATTACCATAATTAACAACCATCCAGGACACATTTCTTTGCAAACATACAATTCATATCATCTACTAAATAGATGAAGCAACCACATTTAGACACGACCAGTCGACACAACCCAGTAACCAGTGAACCCATTCATACCCATACCCATCCCTATCCTCCCTAACAGGCAGGCAACATTAGCTTCTCATATGTTGTCAATTAACCTTTAAGTCATTTACTTAGTAGCAACATTTGTGGTCATCTTTGTGGCGGAGCTGCTGTTGTACCATCTTCTGGTCGTGGCCGAGGTGGTAATGGTGTTAGTTTATGTGGTGTGAGTATGTCTATGCAAATCGTTTTTATGTTTTTCTTTTTTGCATTCTTTTCTCTTTGCTATGAGTATCTTTAAGTATGTTTTCATATTTATGCTTAAGCTTTAATGTCAATTTGAATATTTATCACCTCAACGCTCTATCTATCTGGTGGCTTAAGTTAAAGTCAACCTTAAAGTTAAGTTTCTTAGAGATAGAAGATGGCCGACTAAATGAATGAATGACTGACTGACTGAGTGGCTGAAAGGCTTAACAAGATTTTGTTTAAGGCCCTTTTTTTTTGGTTTAATAGTGTTGTTTGTGGTCGGGCATTAATTATAAATGTTTGTAAAGGCACTAGGATGGTCAACAAAAAAGAGTTGTCGATGTTTACAACTAATACTTGTTGCGTTTTAGTCCGTTAAACTGTGATTGATGGGAAAGAATGATGTACTTTGCAGCATTTTTAGATTTGAATGGCACTTTTCGAAAATTTTTCTTTTTATAGAAATTTTTCGAAAATTATCTTTTTATAGAACATTTTCAACTAATTCTCTTTTTATAGAAAAATATCGACAAATTTCTCTTTTTATAGAAAACTTTCAAGAAATTTTTCTTTTTATAGAAAATGTTTTACAAATTTCACTTTATACAATTTTCGAAAAAGTTCTCTTTCCATAGAAAATTTTCGACCAATTTCTCTTAATATGTTTTTTGTTTCTCAAAACGTTCGATAAATTCCCTATAAATCGGTAACTGATTTTTGAATGTTTTTCAAATATTTAAAAATTTGTTTTCAACCCTGAAATGTCAACCGTTCAATTATTATTCCACATCTATCACTTAAATTTGAACGCAAAACCATTATTTAAATGTATTGTGTAAATTTTACTCTCAAAATGTCGATATTACAGAAATATATGAATATATTCTGCAACATCAATTAAGTTAAACTAAACATTTATTTGGCTCCACAACAGTACCAGTAGAACAAATTCGAAAAACATTTATATCAATTCATTAATTTGTATGCAAGGTCATTAATAAAATGTTTAGCCAAACAACAAGCCACGACATTTGTAATGACATTAACAAAATATTGTAATGGATTGTATATATACTGAATAAAACTGGTGATGCTGTTGTTGTTATTGTCCCTGTCATCTTAACAGCCTACACAGGCAATAAACTTAATTAGAGATTGGTTGTCTACTTAAATATAAACTGCATTTACCATTTTATCTGCAACAAAATGCAGTTTTACTTTAATACACAAATCCTTAAACATACATCCTGTGAGAATAAAGTAAATTTCAAATTTTAAGTAAAATGCCTAATATATAATTTATGCCAGTTAATTACTTTATGAATTCTTAATGGTTATTATAAACAAAGTAGCAAAAGGCCAGAAAGTATGCTTTAAAAATGTTATTTTATAGAAAGGCTATTTTTATTCATGTTATAATCCTCTTGTTTATCATGACTCAATATCTTGTATGCAAAATAGATAAATATCGTATGTTATTTGTTGTATTTGTATTCGCTTGAACGAAATGCGATATATCGAAGTTTTTTCTCTCTGTTCAGTTAATAAAGTTATTTCTTTGACTTATCAAAAGATGTAAAATGAAAATAAAACCAATTTGTATTTTAATACAAATAATTGTGTTTATGTTTAGTTTCAGATTTTCTCTTTTTTTTTTGTGATTCCTTTTAATGGAATCCATGTTCATATACATAAACATGACACAATATAAACATTAGTTGATTATTTTCATATATGAGGATGTTTATAAAAATGTGCTACAACAGGAAGAACCGAAAAAATGCAATATAAGCCAAAAACTGACACAATAAACAATGCAAAAAGGATGATATTAAAGCCCTGCAGAGAAAATATTACTTGCATTTCATGGGACAATGACTAAATCAGCACAGTTCTAGTTCAGTTCTAGCTAAGTTCTAGTTCAGTTCTAGTTCAGTTCTAGTTCAGTTCTAGTTCAGTTCTAGTTCAGTTCTAGTTCAGTTCT